GTAACGTCGGCCGGCGGTACTACGTTCCCGCCCCCNCCCCCCCCGTCTAGGTAGGGTTAAGTCCCTGCCACACATTCAAAACCTTCCCCCGACCACCAATCAAGATTGGCTGAAGTTCCGGAGCAGTCTAAACAGATTTAGGCCACGCTTACCTTTGTATACAAATCAAATTTGAGTTAAATTTAAGTCAAATTTCACCCCTGAACACTGCTTGCTGACCTACCTCCGAACACCATCTAACCATGGCTAAACCTTTCGTCCACGCCCGAATGTTGCAGCCGAACGGTAGCTGAACATTATTGAACCACAGCCAACCTTGCACCCGACCTACTCACAACCATGGTCGGGGGTTCAGCCGTATTCGGGAGTAAATATTTGGCTATGCATGTGACGGCGCTTCACGTCGATGCCGATGGGCTGATAAAGTTACTATTAAAGTTACTACTGTAAGGCCACACCGTCTTAATTCTATAGATGACATCCGCGAGAGGATTGATTTTCGCCTGTTCTAAAAAAAAAGAAGAAAAAAAGATTACGTCCTTCAAGGCTCTGGCCTGGGTAGTCCATAGTATTTAGCGACATTATGGAGCCGGTGGTAACTCTGGAAGATGGCACCCAGGCTGCTGAAGCTCCACGACTCTAGTGCTGATTCATAAATTCCGCAATAATGCAGCATGTGCCGGCTTGTCGTATACGTCGTTATGTACTGTCGTAAATTCACAATACCAGCTTTGTATTCCTGTGGTTTAGTAGCATTTTTATTTTTGGCCGAAATTTTTTTTATTCGCCCGCGCGCACTAGTTTGGGGGTCTTCAGAGGATGTCATCCATAAAATTAAGGCGGTGTGGCCTAACATGCGTAAAAGTACGTTTTCAATGTCAGGTCTTGGTAAGGTACTGCTGGGCGATGGGGGCGTCTTTGTACGCTGTAGTGATTTAGTGCTTCTGTATGTGATTGATGGGGTATCGGTTACTCGCATATGGTGTTGAATAAAACCAGGGGTCACCGCATGACCTTGCTATTGTCCCATGACGTGTCAGTTGTATTGATGTCAAGAGACCATTTGGCCGGTGAAAGCAAGGCCTCGCCTGAGTTTTGCTTAAGCCCGATGCTTGTGCTTGATTGCTTTTAAGTTGAAGAAGCCACTTCTCATGACCGGTACCTTGATCGTTTGACGTATACTTATTCTTTTTGTCCAAAATACATTTTCATGTGTTCAGTTTTACTTGTGTGATATTCGATAATTGCCACAAATGCTAGCACGTACACGCACGCACGCACACATGTAACGATTCCATCAAAGTAGTGGATTGACAGTTTTCAAAATCTGCAATTGCTTAAGTAACAGTTTTTCTTGTGTTTTAACAAATGTACCACTACGCTATCCCATCTTGGCTTTAATTCACTTTCTGGAGTGCTTAAAGCGTGGTTTTGGTATGGCGTATCCTCATAAACACCGCATATCTTGCTTGCCCTTTTCAGGCCCGAAGGAAGTGTCTGCACTTTCGTCAACACTCGCCGGGTGAGTTACCAGGTGGAAATGAGGCGGAAACGGACCACTGCTTTCGTAGACTACATCGCCTCCTATCTGGGCCTTCAACACGAGAACAGGTAAAGTTGATAGAAAGACGTCAATCCTGGTGTCTTTTCAATATTTTGTAGCTTTTTAAAATGCAGGGGTTGACATTACACATGACAGACGCCAAAGAAACATGAAAGTCCAATTTTGCAGTGGGGGTAAAGAGTTGAGGTTTTGTGTGTGCTAAATTTAAAGTGCATGCTGAATTCCAGTGGACTCCACTGTTTTTTTCACAATGCATTCCATTGGACAGATCATTTGCTGGTCTCTCCCCAGATGGTATCTTCGCCAAGAAGATTATGTTTTCCGTTTATTTGTATGTACATGTATATGTGTGACTTATCACGGATTATCATGAACCTTAGTAGGTGGGTAGCTCTAGATGTGATCTTACATACATTAGTTTTGACTTATTTACACTATGTTGACATCTTGACAGGGTTCCTAGATCGCTGGTAACGCGGTACCAGATCGTGTACTTCACTGATTACCGGTGTTGTGTGGGCTGGAACCATATCGACGATACCTGCCAAGGTGAGCTACCATTAACTTTTTTATTCATCAAAACATAACAAGGACAGTGTGGCGCTGCACTCAAGTTTATAATTTATATTAAGTTATAAGCCACACAACAAAATACAATTAACATTTGAATACACCACATTAAGTTGACATATCAGAGCGCCTTAGACCCACCACCCAAAGACATTACAAAAATGCTAATGCTAACAAAGTTATTTTTAAAAAGATTATAAAAAAATTATCATTTAAAAAAAAGTTATCATTAATTTTACCTACGCAGTTCCACAATCCCTTTATGAATACGATGTCGAATTCTTTCAGTCATGCAGAACGTCGACATTTTCTCTCCTGCATGCGGAGAGACCCCGCCATTAACTGGCTCCAGTCGTTTCTTAGTCTGTCACTTCTTGTACGTGTACGAATTCTATATGTGAGTTAAAAACGTTTTAAAAGCTATTTCTGGTTTTATCAAACTAGAAATTAAATTATCACTACAAATGTGTTCACACACAAACAATGATTTTTCTCTATTTTACAGCCGACTGCAACAACCCGTGTGTAAACGGACTTTGTGTGGAAATAAACACTTGTGAATGTGACGAAGGATGGGAAGGAGGACAGTGTGAGGATGGTACGTACTAGCCTGGTAGCCAGGCGGGATGGGGTGTTGAGTCAGTTCCCTTCGGCGGCATAGGATAGTAGGCCCGCTTATTGCAACCATCTCCTCCATTCACATTGAAAGACATTTACTTCCAAAAATTCCTACGCGAAATTCATAATGACAACAAATCCAAAAACGCAAGAACAAACTACGCTCGTACAGACTATTCAAATCTACTTATAATGAAGAACATTATCTTAAAATCCCAAACGAAAATCAAAGAACCACCATCACCAAACTACGAATCAACTGTCATAAACTCAGCATCAAAACAGGAAGGCACAACCGCACACCTCTGGAGCAAAGGATTTGCCAATTTTGTAGCTCAAACAAAGTAGAAGATGAAGCCCACTTTGTTATTGATTGTAGTTTATATAGTAATGAAAGAAATGATCTTATTAGACATATTACAAGTACGTTTTCATACTTCCAACACTTGCCTAATATTGAAAAAATTATCTTTCTTATGCGCTTTGATCATCCTGTATTATACAAACCCATTTCAAATTATATTTTTAACATCACAAAGAAACAAGAAGAAGCCGAACCTATGTATTAGAGTAGTTTTAAAGCTGTCTGTATTACAGACATGTATATTACCCATTTCATCTGTTCGCCTGTACTTAGCCCGATACCATTTATAAATCAGCGCTACGGGTGAGTTGTAGCCCGAGGGGAGTTATCTATAAGGAAATGTTATACGAGTAATAGTACTGTTTGTCATGATAAAACTGACATTTGGTGGAAAACATGATCAACTTTATTTCATGCATGCAGATGAGACTCTTATTTGTATAACTAATGAGAAAATTGACAATTCGTTAGTTGTAAAGATGAAGATAATTTGGCGAAGGTATCAACTCGTAGAGCTATAGTTTATTTATTTTGTACTCTATTTCAAATATCAATAACAGTCATGTACTTGGAAATGTTATGTTTACCTTCACAGAAGGAAAACATATTGTTTTTGGTCAGTTTCTTCCTTTTCTTCTTTTCCAAACAACTAAAGTCAATGACCTGGACCAGACGTCTGTCACCATGGTAACTGGTGCTGTAGTTACCATATGGTGTTGGGTTACATTTTGTAGCAGGGAACTGAGTTGGAGTGAGCGGTCACCATATATTTGTACTAATCTGCTTGACTCGTAAAATTTATAGTAAGCAGAGCAGTAGTTTCTTGTGAATGCCATCATTATGCATTTTCTTGTAAATGTTATATTTCTAGTTACGACTGTTGTTTGTTGCCAGATGTCGATGAATGCTGGTACGGGATTGCGGAGTGTGATCACATTTGCACCAACACGGAAGGATCCTTCAACTGCTCCTGCGATCCGGGATTCCATCTCATTAACGAGACTCGCTGTGCAGGTATAGGCAAATGTTTGTTTTGACTTTTGTTATGACAGTTTTGTCTGACAGTCAACATCACCAGGCAAAGGCGTGTACGGTATCTGTTATATCACCATCTTCCTGTCACTTTATTTATTGTCTTTTATTTTCTGGGTTGTGTACCTAATATCAGCCCAGGATCCAATTAAAACTTTTTCCGTCGACAATTTTCGGTAAGTTCCCACCACATTACACCGAAACTTGATTCAATCTGCGGAAATTTTCGACACTCATCGGTCAGGTTAGTGTACGTTCGGTGACAAGCATATTGACTGGAAATTTTGGTTAAACTGCATATTTTATTTAAAACTTTTCTTCTTTGACTTCCCAAAACATTTTAGAAAAGGTGGGACAATACGCCTTCCATGGTTTACAAAAGAAAAGTCAAGCCCTTCAGAGAGTCTGACATAGGTTTAGACATAGCCATAGTTTTAGACATAGCCATAGTTCTGGACAACTACCTTTCATTATGTAGATTTTGAAGTTATTTTATACTCAATGTTTCAATGTTCTTTCATGTTTGTAACTTGCAAATACCCTTCGGGCATGGACTTGCAATAAAAAAATTTTAACGGAATATACATTTTTATCTCCTATCTCGATCGATGCAGAGGAAGCTGACGTGGATGAATGTTCCACCGATAACGGAGGTTGTGAGCAGAACTGTGTCAACACGTACCTGTCACACCACTGCACCTGTGACCCAGGCTACACTCTAGGTGCTGATGGACGATCTTGTAACGGTAAGGATTGTGCCAGCCTTGCAAAAGCAAGTTTGCTTTCTTATTCTTAGCTTCTTCTCGAGTCAATAGCTGCAGTCGTGCTGCTAAAGTCTTACACTCCAGTGCTCCGCACATGCCCTTCCTCTTTGACGACTTTGCCTTTGCAAAATACACGTCGTTTACCCTTAAGCTTAGTAGCATATAAGCATGACCTGCTTTGTAATTTTATGGACGAAGGAAAGATATCTTTCCGCGGAAAAGTACTGTTTTCGGTCGCGTTTGTGTATTCGCTGCTATACCTCACGATGGGTTTTACGGATTTCTTTGATTTTCGGTACATGATTAGTTATGGGGAGTCCAGATAATGCGACTTGTTTAGATTTTATTGTATCTGAACTTTTATTATTTATAATCAGGTATCGAAATAGTTGTACTCATACGTCATATAATAATAATCTCATCCATATCCTTTTCGATCCGTTGACAGACATCAACGAGTGCCAGCCTAACAGAGGAAGAGGGGACTGCGACCACATCTGTGACAACACACCGGGAGGCTTTGAGTGCTCGTGCCAACCACAACACCACCTTGTGGGACAGACAGAATGCAGAGGTAAACTTCATAAGAACTTTGTTGACACAACAAAAAGTACAGCGACTTTCGTAAGGTCTAAGACATGTAGATATACAGACAAATATACATGGGTACAACGAAAATATGCTACGTACAGAACAATAGGTGGGTCAACTAATACTACTTGTTCTAAGGTTTAAACATTATTTGATATATTTACCTATTTGTACACAGTAAGGGTTATTGCCTTCTAGTATGAACTTAAATTTATCTATAGCATGGAATGTAACAAATTCTGTTGAGCAGGCGGAGAGAAGGTTGAACAGCTTTGTGCGTTTATCGTTATATAGTGTACAATTCAAAATAAAATGTTCGTCTTTAATATCATTGGGCACTGGGACAGAATGGACAAAACCTCTGGTCGCGAGGGATTTTTTTATATCTTTCTAATTCTATATTCAATTTATGGCTAGAAATTCTCATCTTTGTAATCGATCTACGAACTTCAAAATTGTGTATTTCAGAAAGGTAATTTTCTTGTCCATACCTCTTCTTTAACATCGAATATACAGAAAGTTTTGAATTGTTTTGAATAGAAGTATGGTATTCTTGAATATAAATATGCTGTAAACGACGTCGTATATAGAAACCACGTTTGCTTTGGGAACAATACTCTCCAAGCAGAGTTTAGGTTTCGTCTTATTACCTTCGGCAAGAAGGTTATGTTCTCAGTAGCGTTTGTATATTTGTTTGTTTGTGAAAAGCATAACTCAAGAAGGTATGAATGGAATATAATGACATTGGGTGTGTGGATAGGGTTTTCTTGGGCTTTTTTGCACTGGTATATTTTTTTCTGCCCAAATTAACACGTCAAAAATAAGTTTCCATACTTTACAATCAGAGGTTAAGGTTAGGCATTTCCCTTTTCTCTAGATGACAGTACTAGTATGGGAACACTTGCATGGATTTGGATACGGAAAACTGCCATGACATGGATTGATCCATGAATTTCTAACGAAAGAAAAAGAGGCAGGTCCCAAAAAACTGTGATTATGAAAGACTGTGTGATATCATGGAGCGAGGTACAGTGGTTGGCACAAGGCAGGAAGACTAATATGGCGGCCTTGTGCCCTGTCACACTCTCAGAACCTCCCCCATCACCAACCAAGATTGGCTGAAGTTGAGGAGCAGTCTGACCAATTTTTTTTTGTCCACGCCTATCTGACGATACGAAACGAATCGAATTTGAGGTAGATTTAAGTCAAATTTGACCCCTGAACACGGCCCGAAAACTTCTGATCTACTAACAAACGCCTACGTTCCCGTCCACACCCGAATGTTTTCAATATTTGACACCTTCGAATGGCGTAGCCGAAAAGTAGCCGACCTCACTGAACACCAGGCCAGCCAACCACAGCCAACCTTGCTCCCGGCCTGCTCTTAACCATGGTTGGGTGTGTTCGGCAGTGTTCGGGTGGCCAAATGCATATTCGGCTATGTGTGACAGGGGCTTTATGGGCCGCCGACAAAAAGGAATGGGGTAGGGAAAAAAAGAAAAGGAAAGAAAAAAGAAAAGAGAGAGAATAGACGCATATTGTCCCAAAATGTCTCTACGTTGTTTTCACAATTTGTATGTTGTATCCTATATCACAGAGGATGCCATGTATCCATACGGGGAGGAAGTTGGTGTAGAAGCAAAAGAGTGGGACCTGAAATCCTGCAAGAAAGTTGAGCTACCCCTGGAGGGTTTCCGCTTCTTCACAAGGCGCCACCATAAGATTTATGTAAGAAATATGAAAATATTGATACTGTAAGAATTATGTGTGTGCGTTTAGAAGGAGGTGTTTATTTGTACCAGGTGCTCAAGCTATATATTCATAATATATATACATTAATACAGTTATTATGCAGTGAAAACAGGGATATGATTTGTTTTGTTTTGTTCTAGCCAATATATTTCACAATATGCATGGCGTGATTTCACAACTTTAACACGTCGTTGTACAATCCACAGCACGAATTGTTCACGTGACTCATCCGTGACGCATAGCTCTGTCCACGTGATCGAGCAATTCGCGGACGCTCATTGGTCCGTTGTCTTGCGCGGGAATTGTCCAACACGTGTCCGGGAACCAATTGTAGGCAACACGTGTCCACTCAAAACTCCAAAAACAGCGGACAATATATATATATATATATAT